CCCCAAAACCCCAAAACCCCAAAACCCCAAAACCCCAAAACCCCAAAACCCCATGTCACAAAATAACAATTGATGAATGGCTTATTAAATTAAACTGAAACTATGCTTCAAGCAGTTGATTTGTTAGTGAATTCTTCCTTTGCTTCCTCCTACTGTAAAGGAAATGTGACTGTGTGAATACAGCTACGATTATGATGACTATTAGGAAATAGAATCCATGTGAGAGATTTCTGAACATATTTCCTATGAGAATTACTCATGTGAATCCTAAGAAAGTTGCTGATAATCCAAGCCAATTAAGTCTGTCAATGTTTCTACAAATTTATATCTTTTTACTTACCTTTTTGGAAAAATAAGGCTTGCAATGTAAAACAAGAGAACTAGGAAAACTCCAAAATTATAAATTGCTGCTGCAATTGAAATAACTTTATAGTGCCCATCTCCTCAGAAGTCACCAGGGAATATTTCTGATTGACAATTGTAGATCTCTGCAATAAAATGCCATGTACCATTAACTGAGAGAAAGATAGGCCCGACATTATAATAAAAGATATGCCCAGAACTTAGCCTCTCATATCTCATCTTGACAAATGAGGTAAAGAGAGATACCAAGGCAATTGATAATATTAGGCAAGCTCTGAGTCCGTAATTCAGCCTCAAATGATTCCTCTAGATAAATCAGTAAGCTCTATTTCAAGGCACTTACCCAAATCCTGGTGTTCACTTGGAACAAATAACTTGGCTTCACAGTATCTGAGCTTCTGCTATACCCTTCTTGGTCAGGTATTTCATCATCATCATATTTATCTCATGGCATATTGGATTCCTTCACTCTGGTTCTCGGAGAGTAGCTTTCTTCTAAAATAAATTTCTGGCCAATTATAATTACCCAAACTATTATTACACAAGTTCTAAATTTATAAGAAAAGAGGCATGAATCTTAAGTAGCATATTTCCCTAAAATTACCTGAGTCCTCGAACAGATTTTCTCTGACTACATCGCTCTCTCTTTGGTACTGGAACTCGACATCACTTCTACCAAAAATGGAGTTTTTAGACCTCTGAGAAGCCAGAGCTAGATAATTATGACATTTTGGTACTGTTCTGGGTGCTTTGCTTGGCAAAAGTAGACCTTTCCATTGTTGAACATGACCCTTCGTTATACTATAGGTGTCGAGTTAGACTTTGTTTGGGAAAACCATTTTGTGGAGGAAATGGAGAAAAAATTTAAGAACAAAATTTTAGACTCAAAGCATCCATTTAGGAAATATACTCGGTGATTAGCAAGGATTATTAGAGTTTAAAGGGTGATTAACATTTTATAGTGATTGTGGTAGTCTGAAAAATATAGAGCTGAGGACATCTCATTTAACCCCTGTGAGTTAACACTTGAATTAGTATTTAAACAAACCTTATTGTGATCTTTGTCATCATTAAGTTGACTGTATTTCCTGCCGCTTGATTTTCTTCTATAGGAACTACTTAGGCTTAATTGAGCGATGTCTGACCTTCATCAGAAATTCCTTGCAAGTTGTGGGAGAGCGAAAATTAAGTCCATAGAGGCAGAGCCACAGCCTGCTGGCCTGACTAACCATCAAAGCCTTAAGCGGGCTTTCAAGATAAGGACTGAAGATCAAGAGTGGAGGTAGAGGAACAAGAAGGTACCTTTCTGACATTTTTGAATAAGATTGTTAATGTTTATAATTTTGAGTGATGGATTTGGGGTTTTGGGGTTTTGGGGTTTTGGGGTTTTGGGGTTTTGGGG